AAGTAGGAAGGGCACAAAGACATTCAGAGGATTTGGGGAGGTTAAAATGTGGAGAATGTTTTCAGAGTTTCGTAAATGCCACCAGGTGGGTTGGGAACAGAGCAGAAATTTGAACCCCTAGGTTTGAGAAATACTCAAGTCTGGTTGTTTCTCAGCTTTTTTTCCCCAAGAGTTATATCCCTGGGGGCAGGGGATGAGTATTTCTTAAAAAGGGGGAAAGGGAATTCATATTTGGAGTCCATCTCCATGAGAAAGGTGGCATCTTCACATTGCAAATAAGAAATCAAAGGCTCGGTGGGGAAAAGTGACTTGGCTGAGGCCATGGACCAGCCAAGGGCAGAGAGAGCTTCCTGACCCAGACCCCTACACCACGTCTCCCCCAGGTGGTGTGTAACAAGATACAAAACTCCCCTGATAGCCCATGGACATTTTCCTTAATGGTATGGATACCTAAAGATACTGACTTTGAAGGTGGTGGAGACAGCTCTCAGCCAGGTGTCAGGAACCCTCAGTCAACTCTCTGAACCCACTCTTGACCTGGGACAGGTCTCTCCTGTCTTCGCCTGCACTCCTATTTGGGAAATGAGGACCCGAACCCACCTGCCAAACTTCTTCTTGCTCTAATTATCTGTGGAAATGAACTTCACTGTTTAATGTATACTTTCCAAAATCGTATAAATGGTATACAAGCCACTCTTTGTATAGGAAATATAAACACAACAAAATCACATGGGGCATAAAGTGGCAGTCCTGTGCAGCATCCACCATCTCACTTCCCTACTCAGAGATTACTCCTGTCAACTCCTGTCACAAGAAGGTGTGTGTCCTTCCCAGTTTTGTTTCATTTATTTATAGCCACATGTATGGGTAAACCCAAACATGCATCTGTCTTTCTGTCCCATATACGGGATCATTGCTCTATTATCCTGAAACTTGTAAGTGTATGTTTTTTATTTTAAAATGATTGCAAATCTTTCAATAGAAGAACATTTGGATTCACCTCATTGTTTTTAATGACCTTATTCTGCAGTATTGATTACTATAATTTATATTCTATTGATATACTCCTATTGATGAACATTTATGTTGTTTCTAATCTTTCATGATTAAAAGCATTTTTTGTATACACATAGCTTTTTTGCCTTATTTCTGTAGGTTAGAAACCTAGGAATAGTACTACTAGGTCAAAAAAAATGCGGGCATTTTCAATTTGTATAGATACTATTGAATTGCCCTTCAAAAACACTATGCCAATTTGCTCTCATAGACAGCATCAAGGTGGAATTTTAGATGTGGCAACAAAGATGTGGGTCTTCTGTGGGGCAGGATGCTGTCCATCAGCCTTCCAACCACCCAATGCAAGCCATTAGCAATTCTATTTACAGGTGATGTGGGGCCTGCCCCAAGGGCCTTCTCTGCCTGGTTGCCTGCAATTCAGTGTTTCCCTGGCTTCTAAAACAGGGTTTTAGGAAAAGGTTTCCAGAATGGAGGTGCCTGGTGGCTTGATTAACCTCCTGCCCTGTTCAGAGCCCTGGGTTTCCTGAAAAGGTCCCAGTGGGTCACCCAAGGCTGGCAAATGGCTGACTAATAGGGGCTGTGACATCTGTCCTTGCTCGGATATCAGCCAAGTCCCGAGGAGTTCAAAAGACCTCTCCCACTTCTTCACCCCTTCTTAGCAGGGCCCAGCCCCAACTCCCTGAATAATCACTTTCCTTGTCCTCCCTTGGTCTGACTGGCCTCTGCATTTTCCCTTCATCCGTCTGCTTTCTTTCCTTTGTCTGCCTCCTGTCTCCACACCTTCAGCTGAGCCTTGAGCAAAGGCAAGAGGAGGGAGTGGTTGGTTTCTTTCTTTTTTTGTTATTTAAAGATTAGCTGCACAGCTAGTGGTCTGTCTTCAAAAGGAGTCAGTCCCAGGACTTTGTTTCTTAGTCTTGAATCTGAATCAAAACAGAGAAGAGAAAATAAAAATGGCCACCTTTTATTGAGCTCCTGCTATGTACCAGATGCAATGCTGGGTGCCACAGAGACGTTATGTCACTTTTTCCAAGAAGACACCACAGCCCTGGTTTTCAAGTGCAGAAACTGACCCCAGAGACACAACATAGCCTGGTTATGACTAGAGTCAGAGGGTCTGAGACTCAGTCCAGGTGGGTTTGTTTGCCCATTACTATGCCTGGTTGCTGAGAAGGAGAAATTTTACCTTTAAGCCTACTCATCTGCATTTAGTTAAGCCCCAAACATGTATTTCTTGGTATTTCAAAAGATGCAAAGCAGAAGGTCATCTGCAACCATTTCCCATCAACTCAGAGAATCACCAAGTCAGGCCTGAAACTGTCCCTGAAGATTATTGGTTTTGATCTGGCTGCTTGTCTGTTTGTGCTAGATGATTTATTTGTCTGCGACAGTTTCCTGAGGGTTATGTGCTATGGTAAGGGGGTAAATGGATTCTGATGGTGTACAGATTTGGGTTTAGATTCCCACCTTGCCACTTATACACATGTCCCAAGACACTCACTTTACCTCTAGGAACCTCAGTGTCTTCTTTAGGAAAATGGACTTAGTAGTTAGGGTCTTTACTATAGCTAAGTATGCTTCTGCCATCCTGTGGTAGGCTGAACAATGGCCCCTGGGAGATGTCCACGTCCTAATCCACTAATGTGTGAATATTCTGTGGCATATGGCAAAAGAGACTTTGCAGATGTGATTAAGTTAAGAATTTTGATATGAAGAGATTATCCTGGCTTATCCAGCTGGGCCCAATGTAATTACAAGGATCCTTATAAGAGTCAGGCAGTGGCATTAGACTCAGAGAAGGAGGTGTGAAGATAAAGACACGGAGATGCTTGAAGATGCTGTTCTGTGGGCTTTAAAGTGAGAGGGAGGTGCCAGGAACCAAGGAATTAAACTCTAGGATCTGGAAAAGACAAGAAATGGATTCTCCCACAGAGGCTACAGAAAGGATGCAGCCCTGCTGACACCTTGATTTGGCCTAGTAAAACCTATTTTGATCTTCTGACCTCCAGAAATATAAGGTAATACAGTTGCATTGTTTTATGCCACTGAATGTGTGGTAACTTGTTACAGCAGCAGTAGGAAGCCAATACACATCCTCACTACATGGTGGGCTTCTTAAAGACTATAGACCAGACAGACTTGAGCTGGAATCTCTTGCTTCTCTGCTTACAAGCTGTGTGTGACCTTTTGCCTCCTTGAGCCTCCATTTTTGCATGCGCAATACAGAATTAATGATGACTCTTTAATAGGATTTATGAAGGTTTGTTGCATGAGGTTTTCTGTTAAACAAAATGCCTGGGACAAAATAGAAGCTCACTCATGAAAGTTATCATTGTCCTTGACCTATGGCTGTGAACTGGTGGTATAGACATCAGTCGTGGAAGGTTTTGGTGATCTTGTGTAGTTGAGTGGAGAAAACATGGGTTTTTATAGTAGAGAGACACAGTTTTGAATGCCAGCTGTGGTTACTTGCTAACTTTGTGACTTTTGGACTATATACCTAAACCTTTATGAAGGAAGATGATCTTCCAAACATAAATTCAAGCAAGGCCAAATGAATATACTGTGCAAACTCTGGCCTAGACATCCTCCTCCAGAGTGAGCACGAGTGGGCAAGCCAAGGACTCCTGCCTTAGCCACCTTTCTGTCCTTAGGACCTGACACAATGCATGGCATATAATTGTGCATGGGGATGTTTGTTGCATCAATTCAGCTGGGGTGGGAGAGAACTTGGACTAGTGTTATCAGAGTGAACCTGAGATCCGGAAGTGTGATTTAGATAAAGACATGGGCTTAAGGAGATCCAGAGGAGGAAGGATTGGTTCTAAAGATGGGTTTGCTGGCTGAGTAAGTAAACTGGAAGGGGAAGGGTGGGGACCACAGAGGCCTGGCAGGACCTGACATTATGGATCTTCAGTTCTGGGTTGATGGCATTTGGTTTGTCTAGATGGTCGGGCTTTTGACTAGTCTGACTCCTTCCTCCTTTTTGCAATGCCTACAGGTTCCCTTTACCTTGAATTCATAGTGAGAAATCAGCCCTCAACTGAACCTTACTACTGTTAACCCCAGGCCTTAAAATGGGACTTCATTCAACAAGATTCTACTTTGCCCCATAACTTCTTCCAATCCTGCTGCATTGCAAGTTTTCCAGGAGGATTAATAAAATGACATCGTGAGGGGGTTTGAACTCTACCAGAATTGGTGCCTTCTTTTGTGTTTGAATTATTTCCACCATTATTCTTTGTTTACTGCCTTTTGAGTTCATTTTCAAGCCTTGCAGCTATGCAGCCTCTCCCAGTCCATTTGAATTAATTTTGCCAGAAACGTTTTTGAGTTATTGTGGTCCAGATTAAGTCATCTTGTGATCTTTTCATCCACTGTCTTTGTAATTCTGTTGAAAAGCTATCATGTTTGCAGGCTGTGATCTGTGCTTTTTTGTTTTGTTTTTTATAACCCTGGCCTTATACAGCCTCATAATTCTTTTGTTTTCCTGGGTTGTGTCCAATTTGTTAATCCTTGTTGTGGAAGAGCAGTAAAAATGGTAAGACATGGGCTGTGTTAGCATGAGGCAGAGACTGGGTTTGAATCCCAGCTTGGGCAATGATTAGTGGCTGTCTTGGACGACTTGCCTCACTATCCTGAGACCAGCTTCCTAGTCTGGAAAATGGGGAAAACTCAGGCCTGGCTTACAAGTGAATGATTGAATGGGATGCTGTATCTGAACATGCCTGTCACATACCAGTTGGAAGTATTTCCCCTTCTTTTAGTTTTTTTGTTTGAGACAGAGTCTCACTCTGTCACTTGGGCTAGAGTGTGCTGGTGTCAGCCTAGCTCACAGCAACCTCAAACTCCTGGGCTCAAGCAATCCTCCTGCCTCAGCCCCCCAAGTAGCTGGGACTACAGAGGGCATGCCACCACGCCTGGGTCATTTTTATATTTTTAGTAGAGATGGGGTCTCACTCTTGGTCTGGCTTGTCTTGAATTCCTGAGCTCAGGTGATCTTCCCAGCTTGGCCTCCCAGAGTGCTAGGATTACAGGCCTGAGCCACCGCACCCAACTCTTTTAGTTCTTAAAGCTCCTATTTGATGTATTTTTCCTTTCTGTCTAGAAGATCAATATGACATTTGATGTTTTAAAAAATTTAAGTGTGTGTTCTGCTGCTGTTCCTCTGTGACTTTTCAGAAGTAATTGTTAAGTGCTTCAGTAACTATATTAGCTCTTCCCTGGAACACTTTAGGATACATGCTGTCCAACCTGCTGATTTGTGTTTTTCCCCAAATTGCTACCTATTCCCTTAACTGCTTTCTGTCATAGATGCTTCTGTGAGATCTTAATTACTTCCTAATTGTCCACATTTCTTCTCTCTTTTTTTTTTTTTCTTCCTTTTCTGGCAAAAGACAGATTATCAAAGATGAGTTCAGGATCTTTGCCACCTTCAAGTCATCATTAATTTGCTTTCTCCCTCATTATGAAGGCAGGAATGTGCTCTGGTTTGCTGTCTGATTTCCCACCTGGATTCCTTCTACAGTCTCTTGATAATCTCAGCTTCTCTGTAATCACATTTCTCCTTCAAAAGAAGCCTTTCTGCACAGATGCTCCTGGCATCATGAGAGCGCCTTTCACAGGGCTGCATCCCTTAGCTTGTCCTGAAAGTTCTTCTCTGCAACGGATAATCGCTTACTGGTGTCTTTTAAATGCAAGGCACCACGTGAGGTACCAGGGGTGCCGAAACAAAGATAACCCTTTCCTTGGTTTGAGCAGCACACATAAACAGGTGCTCAAACTGAAAGTAATAAAATGTTAAAAATCATATTAGCAGCTAAGGGAGCACAAGCAAGACTCACGGAGTTTGAGCAGGTGGGCACCACAAAAAGCTATAGAAATGATGTTGTAACCCATTTCTTTATAAGCCATCCGATGGAATAACCAACTCTTAACTTTTCAGTATGTGTATACAATTAGATACATTTTAAATGCATGACTCTTACATCACACCCAATGATTATGAATATGTTCTTCACTAACAATAATGATAATGATCCCAATGACAGCAATGACAATATATATATCACCTTGCCCCACACTCATTTCAGGGTGGCAGATCAGGGAGTACCATCACTCCCAGAATAGAAATGGGGAAACTGAGTCTCGGAGAAGTTCAGTTTTCGAATCATGAGAATCAATTGGAAATATTCTGGTTCTAAATACAAATTTTTGCTTTATCCCTCTTTGTTCCAATGTGCTTACAAACAAGAACCTGCTTGATGACTTTGCAGAGGATTCCTCCACATAGCCAACACCAGTCAGGGGTTAGCAGGGAAGAAGTGGTGAATTGCAAAACCTGAGGATTTGGAGCACATATTAGCCAGAACATATTTTAAAAAATTATTTATGCATTAATGATAGATATGATTAATTCACTACCATATATTTAGCACTTACGATGGGCTGAGCATTGTGCTGTAGTTTTGTGTGTATCATCTCATTTGATTCATGCAGCCTTTTGAAGTAGGTTCTATTATTCTTTCCAGTTTATAGATAAACAAACTGAGGCTCAGTGAGATGAAGTGAGTTGCCTAAATACACATAACTAATAAGTAGCATCACTAGGATTTGAACCCTTCAAATTCAGGATCTTAGCTTGTGACTATGGAAACACCCCCCCAACTCCCAAGTGGCCCATTGGGATGGGATCCAGGTTTGCAGATCTAGCTGTCACCCTGGAAGCTTTGCTAAGACTTGCTATCTAGTACTAGTGTTTGACTGATCAGCAACTCAGGCTCTCCCCTTCCCTCCTGGCCCTCTGGGGGAAGAGTCAACGAGCCATTAAATGACCAAGGGGCATCTGAAAGAGAGTGAAAGAGCCAGGCACATGGCTAATCCACCAAGGACATAATCAGCTGTAGTCATTGCATTGACTGGATGTTAATGTGCCCACACTGGCCCTGGGGACTGCAGTCTGGCCTCTTGCAGCTTCTGGATTTAGGATGCTCAACAAAACACTGGAGATATCAGTAGCTACTTTGCCAAGTAGCATTAGGGATTCCCTGATAACCTTACTCAGCCAAGACCAGCCTGCCACCTTTTGCAAGTGAGAGAAGGGAAGCTCTTTTTAGATGAATGGCCCTATGGGAATGCAAGGCTTTGAGAAAGATGTGCAAAGGCAGCCAAAGACCCCTGTCTGGGCACAAGAGACCTATTGCTGGCTCTCTGAGTGAGCTTGGGTGAAAGGGGGGGGGGAGGTTCTTCTCTCTCAGCCTCAGTGTGCTCGTCTATAGAATAAGAAAATTATGCTGGGTGACTCTGTAGGGGCCTCCTAAATTTTGCATGCTAAATCCACTGGTGATCCATCAGTGCTTTTGGCATCTTGCAATAATAACATTTTATGAGATGCCCATCTTCCAGACACTAAGTGCTTCAGGTATTATCTCATTAATCCTCACAACAACCCTAGAAGATGGGGCACACCTGCTATCCTGACTTTACAGATCAAGAAACTGAGGCACAAGGAGGTTCTGAGATTTGCTCAAGGTCATACTGCTATGACGGCTGAAGCTGGGATTCACGTTCACAATATCCAGCTCCTGAGGTTCACATTTTTAACTGCCTTGGAAACATTCCTTGGAAACATTGCTCCCCAACTGGCTGTCGGCAGGTGAGAGGACACTTTTACAGGAATAGCACTAAGGGAATTTAAGGCATTGCTATTTTTGTTCAAGTTTTGCTTGGATGAGGGAGGCAAGGCAGCGAGTGATGTTATCATATTAAAATATATATAGGCCTTTTTAGTTTGTATGTGGGGATAAGCTTGACTTGGAGTGGAAAATTCCATTGTGTGTGCAGGACATCCCCCCTGGGGTTAGTCTGGGCTCCCCTCAGGTTCACTGGGGGAATTTGATCATGTAAAATGTAGGAGTTTGGTCTACAGGAGTTAAAGAGACCTGGGTTCAAATCCTGCACACTTATTAGCCGTCTGATGTTAACCAAATGACTTGATGACCCCAATCCAGTTTCTCACGTATAAAATAGGAACTGTAATAGTACCTACTTTAAAAGGTTTTTGTGAGTATGAAATAACTTAATATTAGTAGAGTGCTCTCTAACCTGTAAGCTGTTCTTGTTTTGATTAAAGATGGCTGGAATGTAAATAACCTTTTAGGGTCAGCTATTTCTTTTCCTGAGTCTTCTCTCTCCCAGTCCCCCCCAACCTGGGGACTCCACCACAGCTCAGGGACCCCCTGCCTTTGGTGTTCACCGAGGCATTGCTGGGCCAGGGAGAAAGAATGTGATTGATTTGCTTTGCATTGACTGCGCACGATGAAAAGTTGTTTTATTTTTTTTCCCCTTTCCTTCTTTAGTCTTGGGAATTATATTTTTCTTAGAGTGTTGTTAATGGAAAGCACTGAACCAAATTCCCTCAAATTGAATTTGGCTGCCTGAGTTGTCAGTTCTCCATCTACCACCCTCTTCACCCTCAGCTACCCGCAAGTAGGAGCCTCCATATGTATACTCACAGTCGTCGGAAGCTTGGGCTTCCACGCTGGGCTGGTAGAAGGGTGGGATGTCGAGGCAGGTGGACGATATACCTGGACTTAGCTCCTGCTCATCACTTGTCAACTTACATGCCATGACATTGCAGATGTGCTTGTTTTTGTTGCTTTAGGGGGCACGATCAGATGTGGATGGCCAATAAGAGCAGAAGCCAGGAGGATAAGGATGGGGCCCTGGTTATAGTGTTTAACAGCTGCATGCCCTTGGGGAAGTCACTTCTCTTGTTAGCACCTCTGCAGCCCTGTTTGTTAACAGGGAAAATGCCAAGTAATCTTCTTGCCTCAGAAGAGATAAGCGAATTCATTTGCTTATTTGTTGGTTCATTTATTCTTTTAGCAAATGGTACTATGCTCAGTAGTGAGATTAAAACTCTGAACAGGATGTATTTCCTGCCTTCAAAGAACGATTAGGCTAAAGGGATAACAGATAATAGATGGTAAACACATAATTTTAAGTTCCACATGAATGTCATAGTTACAGCAAAAATGGCCTGGGCCTTGGGGTCAGGCAGGCAGGAGCTACGTGATCTTAGGTAGGTTATTTGATCTCTAGGAGCCTCAGTTTTCTGCCATATATAATAGAACGGGTGTTATAACCTCCTAGCAGGGTTATTGTAAAGATTAGAAATGCTGTGTTTACTGTTTGCCGAAACAGTGCCTGGCCTCTAAAAAGCACACGATAAATAGTAGCTATTATTATTAATAATGATAATATTAATAATGGATGAGAAAGTGCTTTCTAAGCTACAAAACCCTACACAAATACAATGAATCATTATAATCCCGTTACACAGAGACTTATTTCCCAAGAGGTTCCAAGAACAATCAGGATCACTAGTGCCTGGAAAAATAAAATAATATTATTAACAACAAGTAGAAGGACTTTCCTGTTTGAATGGTACTCTTTCCAGTATTAACAAATAGCCATGGCAGGGAAAAACACTTAGAGAATTTATTAATCCAGGCTGGCAAGTATTATCTTGGGTTTGTTGTAAGATTTTCTATCTTCATTAACAACACTTTAGTTTCCTTTGAGTAAATGATAATTTATATAAATTTGCCCCATTTTCCTTGACCTAAGTTCAAGTAGAAGTGTTCCATGCTGACACCTGCAATCAAGGTTCAGGGCATTTCTTAAACCTACAGATGATTATTCTTCCTACTGTGTTAAATGCACGGTAATCCTTTGTCAGTGGGGACTTGGCCAACTGTGGCTTTGTGATAATGGGATTTTATATTTATAAACCAACATGTTAAAAATGTGTGTTATTTTTATATATGAGTTTTTCAGATTAGTTCTCCTAAACAGCACATGACAATTGTTATTCTGGTCCCCTGGAAACCAGAGTGGTTCTATGGAATAGTGTAGAAAAAAAAGAGAGCTGTTTACCTTACCCTTCAATATAGAATTAGGATACTACCTTCCACCTCTTGTGCCCTTAAGGCAGTGATAATTGAAAAACTTACCTGTTACACACATTGGGAAAATTGCAAAGGGAGAGGGAAGGTACAATCCTATGCTTACCCTACCCAACCATGGGAGATTAGTTTCTTCTCCAAACTTTATAACGAGGTACAGGTTCTGTAATGGAAAACATGTGTGGTAATTTCCTTCCTAGTGCTCAATGCCACAGCAGTATTTCCTGAACGTTCTTTTTTGGTTTTGTTTCAGTAGATGCCTTCTTTTGTTTGTATTGAATATGAGATTCAGCTGAGAATGTGTGTGTGTGCAGGCAGGGACCCCTATTTGATAAGACTTTTGGATCTGTCAAAGACATTCTTGTTAGCTATTGTACTTTTTCAAGGTTGATGGAGAATGGCTACACAAACATTACGTTAGCTTTGTGAATCCATTATCCTTAAGGGAAGTGTAAGCCATGCCCACTTCCAGTTTGTCAGCTAAGACAAAGTCATTTTCTATTCGCCCTCTCTTTTCTTGTTAGCCAGGCTGGGATGCAGGATTGGTGTTCTATTCACAAGCGAGAAACTGAGGAACTACAAATGGAATTTGTTAAAAGAGCACATACTGTGTACTGTGGGGGAGAATCTTGTACAGAACTCGTATGGAAACAAGACAGGGCATTGCAGAGGTAACTCTTGCCACAGGGCGGGCGAGGGGGCTGACCCAAAGGCTCCTCCTTCCTCAAGTTTCTGGGATTCAGATTGAAGCTTAAAATGACACTGGGTGAGATTTAGCCAAGTTCTGCATGTCGGAGAAGCAAGAGCCTCGACGATTTTATAGATGGATTAAATATCTCTCTGAACTCGAACAAGTCACATAACAATTACTAATAGTTTATAAAGCAACAGCCATAGCCCAGGCACTGTGTTAGACTCTGGGGAGACAACTGTGAACACACAGAGAGGACCGCAGCCGTTAGGAGCTTAGCGTCTGCAGGGAAAGCAGACATGAAGGAAGTCATTCTGTGTTCACTGCTTATCTCGAGCAGGGCCTTCTACAAGAGCTTCACTCCTGTTTATCTTCACCATGGCCTTAAGAGGATCAAACTTGGGAGGTAGAGGTATTAGTGATTAGCCAGCAGTCAGAGAGCTGGTAAGTGGCAGAACCAGCTTAAGAACCCAGGTCTGGCTGTCTCTTGTAGCTCACACCCTCCTCTCATCACTGTGCTCTTTTTTTTTTCTGTTGTTTAATCACTGTAGACTTTGTCATCTGTGACATGGGTGGCCTTGCTGCTACAGGGAATCTCTGAGAGATGCCCACACAGGAGTACGCCTTGTTTTTGTCACAATTCGCTCGTGTTTACTATTGTTGCGACAAACAGCACAACATGGAGAAGTAGTGAGTCCACGTAAGACAGCAGCCTCCGTTCTGCTCTGAGAACGTCCTCGCTAATTAGGGGACTCACCGAAGAAGAGGATGGAGTGGGTGCTATTTGCGGTTGAGAGCAGGTGTTTCCAGAGAGCTGCAGTTGCTGGAGTGAGGGGGCAAAGTGGGTGGCTGTAGGGGTCCAGGGGCGATGGCTCAGGAGTCTAATTGTGAAGGCGCAGGGCAGAATTGGGTCCTCATATTGCAATAAGGGCTTTGCTCCTTTGTTATGGGAGGAGTTAGGGAGAGGGAGAGAATTCTTATGAAAAGATCATGATCAAGGAACGAAAAGACATAAATTTTTATCTCAGCTCTACTTTGACGAGCTGTGTGACCTTGGAGAAAGTCCCATTAACCTCCTGGGACCTCACTTCCCTCCTGTGTAAAATTAGGATGCCAATCTCTGGTCTGCTTCCCACGCAGGGTTGAGGAGAGCATCAAAAGAGAGAGAACAGAGGTAAAAACAATCTGTAAATGGGAAAGGGCTCCGTGCATTTTGTTTTTCATTCTTACTATTTAGCATTAGCGTTGTCAGTGGATCATTGACATCGTTGGTGTCATCATTGTGTGTATTAATCGAGACAGCTACTGAGCTGGCTAGCCTGACTCCTGGAAGTCATCGGTTTTGGAAAACTTCATCTGCGTATTTATTAAATAAACATGCAGCGAGTGCCTCCGGTATGCAAAGAACTGTGCTCCGTTTTGCAAGATGAGTAAGACAGGGCCTCTGCCCTCAAGGAGTTTACAAGGGGAAATGAGCAGAGGCCTTGGATAACGGCGTTATGTAATGTGTCAGGAGCACAGAGCAAACAGAATGCTATGTTCACTTGTCATATTCTGCCATGGTGAATCTGCTACTTGGAAAGAGCTGGGAAAGTGCTCTCAGAGCATCATCTGCACCCAGCAGGAAGAGGAGTGGCCTGCCTGAGATACCTCCAGATGCCTAGCCCAGTGCTTCCTGCTGTCCAGTACAAGCTGCCTCCACCCTCCGCTGAGCTCAGGTACTCCTCACCTCACCAGAGCATGGCAGGCTCTTCTGGGAGGCTCTGTTGGCCAAGCTGTCAGTAATGTTTTGTTGAATGTTTCTGATCCCTCTCCCTTATGGGTGCATGCTCAAGTTGCAGCTCTTGGCCTGTTTCTAGTTGGTGACTGATATGACCAAGTATGAGTGGAAGTGGCAAGTGCCACCCATGGGCCAGAGCATTTACCTGTCCGGGGAGACTCTCTGGAGCCCATAATTTCCCCCTCTTGCATGGAGTCTGGCAATGTTTCAGATGGTGGCTGCCCCTCTGCCTGGGCCACTGAGAGACTCTGCCAACCTGGGACGGGCATAGGGCACGAGTGAAACAAAATCCATGATGGTTTAAGATCCTGGGATTTGGGAGTTGTTATAGAACTTTGACTCATGCTAACGGACATAGGCACGGTGCTGAAACAGAAGTGAGAGTACAGTGACGCCTGGTTTCTTTTGTGCCTGTTTGTAGAGTCCTTGAAGCTACAGAGTGGAGGCTCAGGGTTCCTGGCACACTTTGTAACCCAAGTTCAAGCCCAACTACTTCTGTAATCATAGGATGCTCGCTTGGCGTTTTCACCTTGCATCTTTCCCCTTTTGAAGTTGCCAGACCTTTGTTTCCTAAGCCTCACCTGCCTCCTGTTCTGCAGCCACATTTTAAACCCAATTCCTGAATTGTTTATCTTCCTCTGTAGACTTGCACGAGTACCTTATCACCAGCGTTTGGGAAAACTAAGTAAATCATGCCTGCCTTTTATTTCGTACTTGATTAAACTTGTCAGAGAATTCAGGCAAGTTCCAAAGGCTCGTATTTTTCTTTGCTCACAGAAATAAAGACTCACCTGGCCCATTTCTTGTTTTAAACTTATGTGTGTGGTGACAAAAGGGGATTAGCAAACCTTGGTCCAATTCCTGAAGAACAAGCACTGGGAGATGAGTTCAAGGAGTGGCACTTTGTTGGGTTGATGATCAGAGGGAGCTAGTAGTCTGCTTGGGCAAGCCACTCTCTCCCTGGTCTTTGATTTTCTAAGTTATCATAGAGGGAAGCTGGACCACATTAGTTTACTCTTCTGAAAATATGTATTTGAATCATACCCTGTCGTAGGTATTATGCAGACTTAACGAGGGAATATATATAGGTCATGTCTTCAGTCATGTGGCTTAAAGGCTGGGTAGATCAGTTACTGTGTATGAGTCAGAAAGTGTTAACTCTTAGGTCCAGTACCAAATGTCATGCTACTCAGGGATTTAATCCATGTTTAAGCAGGTGGGTACAGAACAAAACAGCCCATCCTTTATAGATGAGGAAACTGAGATTCCATAAAGAAGCAATATGCACTACACAATCCTAGCAGGTTTGAGGAAAGGGTATATATATATATATATATATATATATATATATATGGCTGTGGGTGTGGCCTGGCTGTGTTAAGTAAGGACCAATGGCCGATGATGCGAGATATTAATGCCAAGATTCAAACTACCATTCCCACGTCTCTACCTTATGTCCTGAGTATTGTTAACAGTCTCTTTCTATGCAGCTCTGTCTCCCTTCGACTCCACCCCATCTCCGTATCTTCAAATCCTGCCCATACTCTCAGGCTTATTGCGTATGCAGTCTTCTCTTAGGTCCTCCACCGTAACCAAAAATGGCCTCTTATCTGCTGACCTTTCCCAGCATGCTCTGCTCGCATCTCATGCATGTTCTCCCCAGTATTGCAATCACTGCTGCTTGTGTTTCTGCAAAAACAGAGGTGAGGGGTTGGAGTGGAGTCAGTCCTAAATTCTTGTCTCCATTCTGCCATGAACAAGCGGTGTTACCTTGAACAATTTTCACATTTCTTCTGCTCCCTGGTTTACTTATAGAATGGGACTAATGATATCAATTTGCAGGACTGCTAAGAGAACGAAATGAGATAATGTGAGTAAAGTGTTTGTTTTATTTCCCTTACTGTAAAGCTATCCTCCGTGACACGTTCCCCTTGACACAGAGCAACTTGCACAAGTAGGTGATTAACAGATGCCTGATGAGTGAACATGTGCATGGACCTTTTGTGTTCCATCAGCCAGGGCCCTGGCAGGAAACAGATGTCTCCCTTCCGAGCATTCTCAGAAGAGGTAATAGCAGAGAGTTTCATGATAGGCATGGGCAGTCTTAAGGGAACCAACGAGGGGTGCTGATGCATTGCGGGCCAGCGTCAGGGTGTTTCGGTCACCCTGCAAAAGCTAGAGGGATCCCTACCCCAAATTTGCTTTAGGCATTGGAACTGATAATGTTACACACACCAATGGGGTATGCAGGGCTTTGCTCCTCACGTTGTTGAAGTCTCTGGGGAACAGAGCGGGCCTCCCATGCATGTCCAGAATGGCTGAGAACCAGCAGCAGAGACTGTGCTGGGTTTTCATCATGGTCCAAGGATGGGGCAAGGGTGAGAGTTTCCTCACATGGGCAGGGACTTGCATGGTTTGAATCTGCAGCCAAGGCCAAAAGGAGGGAGCAGAGACGAGCAAGAGATAATGCCGGGGTGTTCTTATCAGCCTGCCTAGATATGCGGCACTGCAGTGGGGGGGAGGGAGGGGTGAGACTTAAAAGCTGCCAGTAGTCAAACATCAAGAAATGGAATCAGATTTCTCATTCTAAGGGGAAGCTCCTGCCATCCTAAAGGAGCCAGCAGAGGGAACAGTGATGCCAGGAGGAGAGAGGATCCTTTACAGGGACTGGTCATAGGGGACCCCTGCCCACTGTTGGGACCACAGTCACCCAGGATGGAGGGAGAATAATAAATACTCTGGCCCCTGTCTCTCTCTGCTGCCCACTGATCTCTCACCAGGGCCTCTCCCTAGAGAACCCATCTGGAATCAGAAGGCAAGGATACCTAGGTGACACCTGGGGTTTGCTCTTTCCTGGGGCAAACAGTACCATAGAAAATGGTTTTAGATGGGACAGAACAAATGGAGGATAACAAGCATGGGATGGCAAACAAAACTCAGCAAGATGGTGAATATTAGCCAGCCATCATGCACTGTGCACATGTCATGAGCCAGGTACTTTTGATAAGCGATATTTTTAAGTCCTCATAACAACCTAGGTGGGTACTATTTTTTTTTAATAGATGAGGAACCTGAGGTTCAGAGAGGTTAGGAGAGCCTTAGAGATGGATGTAGTTAAGATTTCACCGAACAGTTAGACTCCAGTGCCCGTATACTTTGCTTTAGACTATGTACTGTTCCTTTTCTATTTAGAGTCAGGGAACTGCCCATGTGAGGTATTTGACACCAGTAAGTTGAGAGCCACCCACCAGCTTTCTATAGCACCCCCATCCTGGTTTCACTTTGGCTACTCTTTATTAAATGCTCTCTGTGCCCCATACCTGTACTGGGTATTTCCACATATATTGTTTTGTCTTATCCTGACAGCAACTCCTTGAGGAGGTGATGCTGTCTTCACTTTGCAGCTGAGGAAACCACGTAAGTCTCTAAGACAATGCAATGACTGGCTCAGGTGACACAGAATTTAATGGGGGCAGAGCTGGACTTCAGCTCAGTTCCACAGGACCCCACGCCTGGGGACCACCTGCCGTACCTGGCTGCCTCCCACTTAGGTTTCCTTTTGAGAATGAGGAGCAAAGACTCCAAATTAAGTCTCTTGCTGAGGGTCTTTGAGGTGCATCCAGGGATAAGGCGCTTCTTTTGTCTTCCCACAAATGCTCAGCTTTGTGCGTCTGTCTGCTTTCCTTTTAAATGCTCTCCTTCCCCCTCCAGCCTGAGTGGGCACACCGTTTTTCCTTGGGTAGAGAGTTGGAGCCAAGTCCCCGATGGAGGTCACAGGAGTGGCAGTCCCCATTTATCTCCATCCCCCTGGGATTGAGAATTTATTTGTGGTGTCAGGTCTGGGCAAGATTTAGAATAATTCAGGGATTTAAGTCCTGAGGATATGAGAAATAAATAATGTCACCCATTCCACATAAAGGGGAATAATGTGGAAGGGGAAAAAAAAGTGTGTTTCTATTAGAAGCAAAAAAGGAATCCTGAAAGATGCTAAGTCATTCTAAAGCACACAGAATTTTCAAAGTAGCAAGGTATGTGCACAATCATCTAATAATATAACCTCCTCCTTGTACAGATGGGGAGACTGAGGGCAGAGAAGAGAAGGGACTTGTTCATGATCTCACAGAGGGTTATCTATAAAGCCAGGCCTTAATCTGGTTGGCTGCTCAGTTCCAGTGACCCCTGGACCATGCCCTGCTCACCATGGAGTCATGAAAGTGGAGCAAGACCTCATTCGATTCAGGTTGTCTATGCAGCTCGCACAGCACTAGATTGGAATGCCTGTTTGCTCCCCACTCTCTCCAGTAGATTGGAGCCCCACGAGGGCATGCATTGTCTCATGCTCCTCTCTGTAGCCACAGCACACTTACTCTTTCCTCTGCCTGGTACTGTTTCCCCTCTTGTTTTGCTTGGCTACCTGCTGTTCATCCCTAAATCTTCATATTATATAACATTTCAAATGAGAGACCCTATCTGATTCCTAGTTGGGCTAGACACCCGCTCTGGTATACTCCCGTATTTCCTGGACTCTTTCTGGATATCCACGTTGCACTTCATTCTCATCACCTGTGTAATTGTCTCTCTTCCCCATTAGACGGTAAGCTCCGTGAGAGTAGGGATTGTGACTTTCTTGTTTACTTGTTTCCCTAAGAAGTGTGCCTAGCACAGAGCCAAACAAGCTCAGTAAATGTCTGGCAGATACACAAAGCAGTGAATCCAAGATGGTCCTAACCCCTGAATATATACCCCAAAGATCTCTATGTGCTGGACAGCTACACACACACCCTGGTGGTGAGGGGTCAAAGAGTTAATAAGGACTTTATTTATGTTTAGCAACCAGTCAAAACTCATGGGTTTGCATCCACTTTCTCTTATTTCTTGGTTTATTCCTTCTGAGAAAAGCTGATGTCCACCTTTGTCTGACTTCTTAACTCCTGCCTATTTTTTCTTAATCGAGTTATTCTTGCTTGATATAGTCATCACACCTCTCCTCTCCTACT